GGGGCCACGCGAGGGGAGGGGGGTCACGCCGCCGCCGCCGCCACGCGCGTGGAGAGCCGTGCAAGCCTGGCTCTAACGTGGAAGCTTTCCACGATAAGCCCGTGCTTTGATAACGCCGCATCACTGAAGGCTCTCAAGCCCCAACGAGACACCTGGTTATCGGAACTTAGTCAGTCCAGGCTGTGGTTTGTCCGTTTCCCAGTCGGGGGGAGAGAATGGGGGGGTTCATCTGAAATCGCGCGGCTGATCAGGCGTGCTTCTGCACGCGCATGCAAGCGGCCACGGGGCTTTGCAATCTTCTCGAAATGTGATGTGGGCGTAGCTGTAAAAGAATTTGCGGCGTGGGGGGGGGAGGGTGGATGGCTGAAGTTGAGTGGCAACAGCAGTCTCTGTGGAAACTTCCCAAACCGTATACTTTCGAAACTGCTTAGCCAAATCTCAAAAAAAAATAAAATAAATAAATCCCTTTCTGTTTCCACCCATCCTTCCTGAACGAAAACGTTCTGCTGCTTTTGTGTTTTCTGTCAAGGGACATCATCTGCCAATGTCACCTGCATTTTGGGAACTGAATGAGCAAGGTTTTTTTTTAAGGGAACAGAAAAACAACATTTGAACACTCAGATTTATCTGTATGTGCCCAGGCATCGGAAAGATCCTGAAAAACCTGGGAGAAAATCCTACTGAAAACTATGAGACTAATTTGAAGTGATATTATTAAAGTGTTAGAATACCTTGATGACTTTCTTAGGTATAGTGACTGTTGTGGTTTAAATGGAAATGAAAAGATAAATTATAAATTATAATTAAATTATAAAATATGAAACAATATTTTATAATTCAACCTGTAGTAATTCTATATATTCAACCAGAAATTAGACCTGCAGCCTATAATATCTGTCTCTCTCTCTCTGTGTGTGTGTGTGTGTGTGTGTATTTGTGATTTTAAATCTCACTGGTTTCAGTGGTTGTAATGCAATTGTGTCTCAGTCTAGATCCAAACCATTGAGAAGAATGGAATGTATTTCCTAGTAACCATGTTTAAGATGTGGAGGTTATTGTGCGGGAACTACTATTGATGCTGGACTTTTTGGTTCCCTTTCAAATTGGTATAAATCTGTAAGTGGGGTGATCTTTAACATGATGGACTGCTGGCACCCATGTCCTAAAGATTTACTACAGCAAATTCCTATAATCTTGAAATACACATTGCAAGAAATCAAAGTATATTAAAATTTACTTTTAAAACAACTACAGTAAACTTTAGTACACTTTGCTTTCTTGTAATGTGTATTTCAATATTACAGTGACTCACAGCAGTTAATGAAATACTGTGCAAAACCTCTGTAGTTACCAGAGGCGTAGGTCCAACCACACATTTCCCACATAGTGTAAGTGGGACTGCACTTCTTTTGAGTTTGGACATAAGTTCCACTGAATATAAATTGGACTCTCTTATTTAAATGAAATGTGATCTGTAAATGTACCACAAGAAGTAATAATAAAGTATAGGTCTTAAGAAGTCAAGTTTTTTTTGTTTTGTTTTAAAATCAACTTATTTATTTTACTCTAGAATACATAGCTTATATACTGTAGTTCCCCACATAACAAAAGACAAGCCAGGAAAGAGAGAGCCTGGCAGGCAGAGAGAAAGTTGGACAAACCATCCCTCGCCATCAGTATTTTCAAATGTGTTATTTCCTCACCATTGGTTTCTGAGAGCTTCTGACAACCCCTCCTAAGTGATGTAGTAATAAATGAAATTGAATTATTTTAGAATTATTACCTGGTGATCAAACTGTTCTTTATGGGATTGTAACAAAACCAGAACTCAACTTGAAAAAGTGAAGTCTTGTTAATCACAAAATTTTCTTTCCGAAACTTATGCAAGTCCTGTGGATTGAGTGTGTCTACTCTGGATGGAAGTAAACTATTGGATTTAGTCATCAATAGACAAAAGTGTATCCCAAGGTTAGATGGCTTTACTGAGGCACTGAGTTTCCTGGGCAACAGCCTGCTTCATCAGATGCAAGAAAAGTGCAGAGTTATGAAGAGAGAGAGACACTATTTTTGTATGAGCTGCCACATGACTATGGAATTTCTCTATCAGAAAAAAAGCCACTCTGGTCACAACAGTAATCTGCAATGAATTAGAAAATAAAATGGGAAGTGGAACACCTCCTTTTGTTAAATCCAAGATGGTATTCAATTCCATCATTTTTCTTGATGGCTTTAGATTCTTCTGTGTGTTTGTATATAAGTCTGTATCTGAGTGTTACACAGAGGTTGAAAAGCTGAACAAAACCAAGCTATTTGTAACATTTAAGACAAGTGGTAAATAGAGCAATTCATATACAGGTATGTGAAATAATAAGGAACTTGTTGCCCCCCCCCCACATTATCAGTAGTATCCTTTCAAAAGCCAGAAATGTAATCTAGAATCTCAACCATTAATTCAGTTCAGGAACAGCAAACCAGACAACAGATAGTTTAAAAACGGAGTTGAATCTAAGCAAGCATCCAAGCAAACACAGAGAAGACTTGTTAGTCAGCATAAAGAAATAATGCAATGGAGGTGTTGGGCTATTCACTAAGAGAGTGGTGGGGCCACCACAAAGAAGGCTTCATTAAGTGCCTGCTGAGTAATTTAAAATATTTGAGGTTTTATGGGGAGGAAATCCTCCCCAGACTGACATGTGTGGCAGCCCTGCAAAGAAAACAAGATCTAGAAATCCACTCATGATTCCCCATTGTTCCTTGGCCCAATTGGATGACAGGGTGGTGGAGATGGGTCATCACTCATGACACTTAGAAGGAAAACTTCTGCAAGGCACTCCCTAGTTCTATAATGTTTATAATGAAATATCAAAGTGGTAACTGATCTAGGAAGTTTAGCATCTGAACTTTTAATTCACCATTGATTTATTAGTATAATTCTCTTTATTTTAGGAGAAAGAGCGATTAAAGTAATTTTCATGAAATTAAGTCTACTGGGTAGGTGAAGGAATGCCTTTACAGATGTTACTTTAATAACCAGTGCACAGGTTGTTTTTTACTGGAAAAATGTAACCTAAACAGCCTTTTCCTACCTGATGCCCTCCAGCTGTGTTGGCCATAATACTAATCATTCATGCCATTTAGGGGAGACTGAAGTTGCAATCCACCACCTCTGAAGAGTGTGTCAGGTTGGGGAAGGGGGTACATAAATATAGAAGACTATGTGGAAGTGACATCCCTGCATCTGTCGGTGCTCAGCCTAACATTTCTCTCCTCTTGGTTTAGAAACACATTTAAAATGAAATAATATTTTAGAATCATTTATGGATTATCAAACATAGTTCGGGACCATTTTGTTTGTGGACTATTGACCTCTTTAAAGAAATCCCTCAGAAGTCAATAAGACTGTCCACCCTGGTATAAGCAGTACTGAACTGGGTCCAACATTATTTATACATTTTGGGGAATATGTTCTGTCCAATAAATTGAGATTTACTTCCAGACACTCATGCATAGGAACACAGGGTTAAGTTGTGGGAAACAAAGTCTATATCATATGCCTGTGTCATCTGGATTTTTCTTTTCTTTTTATAGTACATTTCTATACACCAGTCGATGGGGTAATTGCTTCAAACTTCTTGGCTCATTCATTCTTACAAGAGGCCTGTGAGACTGCCTGAATTTCATCCCATTTTACAGGCTGGGAAGCTGAGAGACAACCTGTTCTTGAGTGAAGGATTATCACATGGTCCGACCAAAGCCCAATAGGAGATTGAAATGAAGGCTTATGCCAAATCCATCTAAAAGTGATAATCCTATGAAGACTTATTTGGAAAATCTATTAAACTGAAAGCATGCATGTAGTCATATTGCAGGTGTTTAGTAAGGAAAGTAACATTCTCTGGGTCCATTATTTGCCCAGCTGAATGTGGTGATTAGTTTACAGTAATTGTCTTTGGCATACCCTGCTAAATGTAAGTGAGGAAAACTACATTATGCCTGTGTGATTATTAGAAGCGGGCAGTTTGGAAATGTGCCCACAACAAGGAAACTTCTGAACTGCTGTTGGTGGAAATCCCTTCCTATGGTTTCTTACTTCTTTGGGCCAAGCAGCAAAGTTGCCTGCCTTCATTGTGGATAGACAGCTGTCTGCAATAGCACCATACTCTGCAAGGCGTGTCTTGTTGCTAAGTGAGAGATGACTGACAGTTATTGCCAGTGCCAACAAGGCAGCAAGTGTGGTGGCACTTGGTGCCAAGATTCCTACGCTGGTAAAACATGGGGAAAGGGCCTTAATTCTTATACATATGCAGTCTTGATCCCTTCATATAACTTGCTCACAAAGAAAAAATTGCAAATACCACCTGCTTGCTCTG